GAACAAAGATGTCCTAAAATGCTAAATATGAATATACTACCCCACCCAAATAATTTTTCTTATAAATGTATGTGTATGGTCCAGTGTTGCATAAAGATTCAGTTTTACAAGAACCCTAGTACTGGTAAAGATGACCGTATTCATGCTAGGAGTAGCTGAGGAAGTAATTTTTTTAAATTGTCACTGCAGCTCACTGGCAGAGCCAGGCTGGAACTAAGGATTTTCCAGTTCCACTCTAAACCACAGACAAACAAATTTTTTTGGTTCAGCTGCTTTTAAGGCAGGGTTTACTTTTTAATCCTGAAAACTTGGTCTGGGTAGAAGGGAAGACTTTTAACATCAGTCTGGAATTTGCACAGTTCTTAGAGCCCAGTTTACCATTGTGGCTGCAGCCACAGTCAGGCTGCAGAGCATTTGGAAATACCAGATAAAATCAGTTATTCAGTGTAGATGCAAGCAGTTCTCATGATTGCTAGATATGTTAAAATCAGATAAATATGTGGTATACTTACAGCATTTCCATGTACAGAATATATCAGATATCTCAGGCTTGGTACTTGCATGTAAGTCACCTGTGTGTGTGTCTGTTGAGAAATACCCCGAGGGAACTTTGTAGACTCATCTCTATGTCCCCACCATCTGCACCAACCCATGGTGTGGCTTCCTCCCCATCTCGGGCGCAGAGGAAGGACCCTCTTCCCCATATATATAGTGAAACTGCATCTGTGTCTGGTCACGGTTCTGTTTCTAACCAACCTGAAAATTTTCCATGTCCATGAGTTGTGTTTTTCTTGAACTAAAAGCTGCATGAACAGGTCTAGAAATAGCTATGTATTTTCTTCTGAGTAGTTGATATTTGAGTAACTGTATTGAAGCAGGAGGCGGAAGGTACTTGGTATTTGCCAATATTAAGGGAGAAGTATGTTAATTCTCTGAAAGCAGTGCATGCTACCAGGTTTTTCCAGTAGTTGCTAGGAAGAAGATTAATAGTCAAAATTCTGTAATGAAAAATCTGTTAGCTATTTTTACTTAAATTTGGAAAAAACACAGGCTCCTTGGTGCAGATACTCTTTTTGTGTGGTTCCATGGGCATGTAGCACAGTAGTATGTGTCCATTCTTTGGGGATCACGGGACTTTATGCTGTCTTTATAGTAGAAACAGAATTCTTATGATGTTATCATATAAAATATGAATTTTAATGTTAAACTTAATGCTCTGCTATGAGAAATATGTAAACTTGGCTTTGGAGCAGCAGTATGCACTTCCTGGAATTCTGTGCATAGCGTAGTTATAAATAAGCAGCAGGTTATTTGGGAATCACTAGGACTGATATCTGGTATCATAAACAGTATCTGGGAGAAATTGTTATCCCTGACAGTTGATTTTTTGAAGAATGCAATATGCTTTATTTTGAAAATTCATATCTTATTAATGAATACCGAGTATACATCGAGCACAGTGACCAGCTCACAAAGCAAACACATATATGCTATTTAATTACTTTATACCTCATCTGTTGCCAAAATTTCATTCCTTTGACTGTTGTATATAACATTTCCAATCTAGATCAAAATGCTAGAATTCATCATGTTTAGGTAAGATACTAAAATGATTGATAAGCGTAGGATTGTCAATATATGGTTTAAGCCTGGCTTTAAATTTTAAAGGGAGTTATCTTTTATCTGTGCATGTGTCTATAGCATTGGAAACATATATTTGTATTCAATTAAATAGGCTTTTAAAAATCTTCAGAAAAGCATTCCCTTTGTTGTTCAAGCTCTTAATAGAAGCTACAAGAATCAGTGTTTTCTGCTTCATTGTTATGTTTTATTAACTTAGTTATCTGATGGATAACGTCATGGTTATAGGGCGAATTTGGGATGGAGTAGCTGCAAGAACAGAACCACCCCATTCAGTGGCATAAATTCTAGATTTCATGTATTAATAAAACCTGGGTGTCGCGAGCGGGCAGTGCTTTCTCATCTGAGGTTTCTGTTTGACCCCCTGCGTGCGGGCACTCAGCAGAACGGACCGGGGCAGCCCTGGCCCAGCGGTGCCTGGTGCCGTGGGCTCAGGGACACGGCCTGTGTCGTCCCCGGCAGCCAGCCTTCGCTGGGTCGGTTCCACGCAGGCTCAGCAGCCTGCACCGCATGGGACCCACGTACACACACCCCACCAGAGCCTGTTTCTGCTCTTCCCTTCTTCCTGGCTCCTACGGCACACAACCAGTGGCCTGCAGTGGAGGGGCTCCGGCCGATCTCTGTGACTTTCTCCCTGTGATACAGATTATTGGCAATTTCGTGGGTTACTACCACCCTCCAGCCTCCCTCCCTGAGCACGTGGCAGGGCTGTGGGGCTGCTTGCAGTGCGTCCGTGTTCCCCTGTTCCTCTCCTGCCCGCGCCACAGCCTGGGAGCCAGGCAGACGCCGCCCAGGCTCATTCGGCAGAGCTTTCTGCTCGGCTTCCTCATGACAGGGATCTGTGGTCTGGCTGCTCCGGCCCGTACCAGCCTCATCTGGTCAGTGAGAGATGAGCAGATGCGGCCCGGGCCTCTTTTTGTCTGCGTGGTGCTTTTGGGTAGGTCTCCTCATGACAGCTGTCCATACGGCCATGTCAGTTGGTTACCCTGTGTTTAGAAAGGCCTGTGTATTTTGATTTATGAAAACGTATCTGCACTTCAGACAATTTGTTTCAGGGTTGGCCACGTTTCAGGCCAAAATTATTGTAAGATGAAAGGTTTCCTCAATTGTGGGTGGATTGTGAAAGAAATAATAAGCACTGGTGGGAATTAAGAGTGTAGAGACAGCAGCGTGACATCCCTGCTATCCCTCTTTTGATCCCTTCTGTGAGGACCCTGTGTTCGCCTCAGGAGAGCTTTTACAGCCCTGAGGGTAGGCGTTTGGTTAACCTCTGAGGGATGCAGAGCAGGAGATGGTTCCTCCTGGTGAAGGGGTCAGAGGAATGACCCCCTGGTGCCCCGTGATGCAGCTGTCACTTCCAGGGGGGCTCAGAAGCTGTCCGGTTCCTCTGGGGATCTGGTTGCACAAAGGGAGGCTTGGGAGTGTCTTCCCACAGCCTCTCCCTTCAACAAGAAATTACCTGGGGTGCCTCAGTGGTTTTGTGGAGTTTCTGGGTGGTGGAGACAGAAAGGAATCTCTCCACGCAGTGCCTGACTATACCATCTGTGCTTTTTATTGATTTTATTTCTGGGTTGCCCTCTATTACTTACTAGCAGGGAAGATACACATAGATCAGTTATGTGATTCAAACAGGGAGATGGCCTGCATTTTTAGTTTGCGCCGGGTTGTGCTGAAGTTGGATGGATAGTAACGGCCACATTTTAAAGAAAAAGCACCCCTGAGATATAGATTAGTTGACAATAAAAGGGTAGCAGTGGAACTCTGCTCTTCAGGTGACACTGTTAATCATAAAAATTGTTAAACGCTGAAGTAGTTTTGAGATGTCTCTAAGTGATAAAGATAACACCTGAGCAGTGCTTTAAAGTTATAATTTATTTAAAGCCATCACAGTCCATTCAGTACAGAAATATTTTCAGCTAGAAATGTTATATCTAGTGTAATTGAATATATAGATTGAACAGACATTATTATTTGGTGAGAAAATTGATGAGAGCTATTTCTTTCTAGGCTTTATTGAGCTGTAAAGTAAGTGATAACAGTACAGATTTTCCCGCTCAAAGTTTATCCTTAGTTTGTCCACCTCTGCTGATATTTCATGTTCCTTTTCATTGGTCTGTCCTTTTAAGTGGATTTCTGGAAGTGCGCTGAGGTATCTTGTGTGAATTTTTATGCTCTTTAAAGTGGTAGGTATGAACGGGTGATTAGGCCACTGCATGCAGTCCAGTCTGAGCGTCTTGAAGAATCACTGAGTATTGCAAAGATCAGATAGATCTTTGAACTTCTAGACCTTGAAGGGCTCTCTTTGTCCTTTCATCTTCATAGCTGTAAAATGGGTATGGAATATAGTTGGTGGAGTTATGAATAATGCTTCAAATACCCAGGAATAAAGGTATAGTTAGATGGAGACCAGGTCCCACAGTCAGCTTGTCGGTGGTTACCTTCATGGGAGATGGTGCCTTTGGATTGTTCGCTCTGAGAGAAGATGGTGATCGAACAGACAGGGAAGAACATGCAGAAAAGTAGTGTTTATCACTTCTATATGGACCTAACTGTGCATAAGTGAATTTGTGATGGTGCTGTGGCCCGAATGTTGGTATAACCACATCCGCATGCTTAACCTGAAGCGGCGTATGAATGGTCAAGTCTTCAAGTGGGAAATACAGGATTACACAAAAGGCTGGTTATAAGGGTGTATAACTGTTCCTTACAAAGTATTCTGAATTAATGAAAAAGCATTCTTTAAAAAAACAAAAAAGTTCTAATACTATGGTTTCTGTTTGGTAAAGAGATAAAGCAAATTTTTATTTTGGGGAAAATTGTTTGCAATTCATACAGTTCTATCTTCACTGTTTGAATGTTGGGTTCCCCTCCCTTCCCTGGCAGATGTGCATCAGAGGTTTTCCTTAAAAAAAAAAAAAAAGAAAAGAAAAAAGAAAAAGTCACCAAATTTTGACAAAAACATTTCAATGACATGGTGAACAGTAATTTCACTCTGCTTTTTAATGAATGTGGAGAGTAATTCATGGAAAAAGTAGATTATTACTTTGTGCTTTGAATTATGCATAGGTTGTCAGAAGAAACAGAATTTTGTCAGTACTTAACATACACACTGTGGACTAAGGAGCCATTGTGGACTGTCACAGAAAATGCTCTGCTGAAATAGATAAATTGTAACAACAGATAATGTGCAATAATAAAGGGGTAGAAACCAGTAATTGCTAAAATAATGGTACTCAACCATCTTTATTTTTACTTCATTGTGACTGGATTGATGTTTATAATTTTTTGCTTTTCTGATGTAAAGATGACCTTAGAGGTAAGGTCATCTTTTTCTGCCTTTTTTTTTTTCTATTTGACAGACTAGAGACGACTTCCTGGGTCAAGTGGATGTGCCACTTAGTCACCTTCCGGTAAGCAGTGCTTTTGTCTCAGCGTGCTCTTTTTTGTCATCACCAGATGTGAAAACCCCTGATGTTATGTAGAATTTATTGCCATAAGTAGTCTAATTAAATTTTCTTAAAGCAAGCATACCCAGCATAGCATTAGAGGCTTAAGGAAAATTGTTATGGGCAACAAAGCCCCACCGTGCACAGGAATTTGGAGAAATGGTTCCCTTTGCAAGGACAAGGAAGACGGTTGTTCTCTGGTATCTGTTAAATATCTCAACATCCAGGATTCACTTCTCATTCTGATTCTTTCTTAAAGTCCTTGTCTGGTCTGAGTCAATTGATGAATGACATGGCCAATAGACTGGTTGTTTCTCACCATGCCGTTGGTGATTATTGTCCTATTCATCTTCTGGCTTCTTCCTTTTCATGATTTTCCCTTACAGTTGAAACAGTTGTATTCTCCCTTAGCAAACTCTGTTTCCTCCAGAACTTTTGTTGAAAAAACCTGCATTTTTGCAGTCCTATTTATCTCTCCGATTTTCTGTCTAAATAATATGCTGTTAAGGTTATGGGATAGTAGTTCTGTCTGGGAAAGTGGATAGTACATTTTGATATTACTTCAAACCTTTTTGTAAAGCCAATAGCCACAGACTAAAACCAGAAAAGC